ACCAACTGTTGGGCTAGAAGAGCTGCCACCACCTGCAACTATATATTTATGTGGAGGATGATGAGTGGCTTGTGCCACCCGGCTGCGGCTCCGAGGGAATGACCCGGCTGAATTGCCGCTGATTGCGCGAAGGTGGCCTGCAAATGACTCTTTGATATGGCCAGCGAAATATTGACGTGCTGAGCTGACACACAATTCCACTGCCTTTTTTCAAACTCATTGGGGAATCCGAATATTATTTTCTGCCGCGCACTGGCCAAATTCGATCTGATTCTGACGTTGATGAAAAACTGCAGCGGTGCAATGGCCACCACTGCGGATGAGTGTTTTATACTTGAAAAATCACTCATCCGCAGTGTGGGCCCCCGAAATGATGGCTTTGTTATAGTTGTGTGCGTTATGGTGTCCTTGTGGTGACCATACTTTTAATCAGTTTTTCACAGTCCTTCTTTTTCACTAGTTTGAGTCTACTATATAAAAAGTGGTAGATATGACCAGTCAGGTATCAAAGGATATGTTCACTATTTTCATCGAGCTGCTGAACAAATGTGAAAGCAACCAAATGTCAAAACGGCTACGTGTCGAAAACATTTGTATCTTGACACCCTGGACAACCGGAGTACGTAAATTCGTACACCAAATAAGTGAATTCAGACAGCATCCAGATAGCTTAACATATTTGTCATATTCGGTGGCATCGCACATGGAAATCCAGATACGACAAACTTTTCCCTATGTTCGGGAGTTTCCCAGCCCCCGTCGAATAAATCCGTAGCCACGCGTCGCGAATCCTGTTTCTTTTTTAATTTTTTTCCTTTTTTGTTTCCGACGGACACGACACCTGCGGCGATGTTCCATTTGGGAAACAGAGGGGGGGAGAAAAAAACCCAGTTGGATATGTCCTTAACAGATTTTTGAGTCAACGTTTCTGTGCTGCGATTTGTTGTGTGCTTTTCTTTTCTTTTGTTATTATTATTCCGCTGTGCTTGTTGTACACACTTTCCACTGCAACTGGAAAGTCCCAGCTTCATTTGCTTCATCCTATTATCCTGGTTAACCGGCCCGCTCCCTCCACTCCACTCCACACCGCTCCACACCGCTCCACTCCAATCCAATCCACCGTCGTGCCATTTGTCAAGTTTTGCTCCCAACTTCAGCCCGCGGCTTTTTTGTAATTACACAACTCGGAGTGCGGGAAAAACAATGCGGGAGGTGGAGCGGGGACTTTCGAGGGGGTTTTGGCCCGGGTAAATGAAAGCGGCTTAAAAAAGCAGAGCACTGGGGTTTTGTGGTGCTCGTTAAAATTTGTTGCTCTCATTTTGATTGTTGTTGTGGTGGCTGCTGATGTTTTTGCCGTGCTTTCTGCGATTGCTGTTTGCGCCGCTGTTGCCGATTTTAGTGCGATTCCATTGCCAGGGCAGGCGTAAAAGTTATCCGGGTATTCAGGGATTGAAGGTATTACGCTTAAATATGCGAACCGGATTGAAAAGCTCGCATGGAGTTGCCCGACCACGATTCATGATCTCCCCCACTCCATCCCGCCGGTTGGGCACTTTAATGCTCATTCAATTTTCCAGAGCCCAACAATTAAGAGTTTTTAATCATCGACTAGTCCGCCACAGCAGCAGCGGAGGCCCAAAGGGGCCCAGCTGGATTGTTGGCCATTGGATGCTGGATGTTGGATGTTGGATGGCCTTTGTATGGCTCCATTATGCGGTTGATTTACTACCCAAACAGCTGTGAAATATCATGGCCCTCCAGGAAGCCTCTTGACCGATGCCAAACGGAACGGAAACGGGTCAAAGGGATTCGCCCACAAACTATGCTCAAGTTGCCTTAAAAGTTTTCCAAACTCTTACCACTAGGGATTTCAGCGGAATATTCATATAATGTAATGGGGGCGGCACATTTTCGAAGACTTGATAGCCCTGGATTACACTTGGGTGGTTAATATCTTTACTTAAGATACATATTCTGTGTGAATCCGAAGTTTGTTCAGCACTTATAAGGTAATATAAAGCATCACTCATTGCTGCGCTAGTAAATGAGCTACCATTTTTGAGTGATAGGCTCTGTTTCAAAATCAGTTTTCGATTAGGAGCCTCTATTTCCGTTCTCATACTGAACTACTGCCTATGCTTTTTAAGTCCCCTTGTAATGACTGCATTTATTATCCATTTACTGTAGCGAGTTAATGCCCAGATTTGCCGGGCTTATCTTTGCTTAAACGGAGCAGCAGCTTGTTTACACCCATATCTATCAATGCTGTCCGCAATGGGACTTCGTCGGAGCAACGAGATGCCCCATCCTGGACAGAAAGTTTTGAGCAGCTCAGCTAGATAAATCAACTGGCATTAGAACGGGGTTCTGGCGATGTTGCTGCTGCTGTGGCAAGATAAATAAATTAACTCGTTCAAGTTGGCTGACAGATGGACTTAGGGCCATCATGATGGGACAGAGCCATGACTGTCATTCCCTCATCTCGCTCCCTGGCGAACAAACAAGTCGTTAAAAACGCGTGAATCCTGGCTAATTTATGGTTAATTAAGTTGACGCAACTTTTGCAATGGAGGGGCGTCCCCGCCATCAGCAACATATGCCACGTGTTCACAAGGCAGTTATGGCATTTCGGTTTGGACCCATTTTCTGCCTTATACTTATACTTGTGTTGTCGTACACTCGGCGAAACAAAGGGCGGGTCTAGTGCTTGACCTGCTCGTTAATTAAGTGGCCTGTTATGGGCAGCTTACCATCGTAATGCATTTTTATGATCGCAAATGGAATTATAACTGCTGGGCATGTGACTACACAAGGCTCCACTTCCTTTTATTTTCATGCTTGTACTCATTTTGTTTGCCAGTAGCCGGAGTGCACTGAGAAAAATTCGGTGCCTTAAGTAGATAAGCAAAATGGAAACACGAACAGCTTGCTAAGCGAGAGTAGATAAATACCAAAAACATTACTTTATGTAAACTCAAGTATATTATCTTTTTGCTTTGTGGGCCTGCAAGTGGTACAACCCTTTTCCCGCTCTGTATTTACACACAATGCCATTACAAGGGCATAGGTTACGGTCGGGTGGGCCAGTCGGAAGCCGTAGACAGACTCCGTAGTCCGGAGGATTGTACGGGAACCTCCAGAACATACAGTGCTTGTAGAGGCTGCGTAACATAACCGTACATCTCTGCCCTCCAGTCGGGGTAATTTCGTAGACAAACATCATTGGCATTTCTGTTTGAAGGCTCTGAGTGCCAATTAACTGAACGTGGCTGCCCCACCTGAACCTGATGGGTGCGTGGGTGGCTCGACCCCCAAATGGCACAGAATCCTCCATATACGCGTATACTCGTATAGTAGATATCGATCAGATCCCTGCACAGGCTTTCAATGGGTGCTTATCTAATTGCTCACAGCAGGTGTCAACATTTTTACCATGGCATTAAGCCAACTTGAACTTATATTTGCACGAGTCGCGCAGGAATAGAGAGTCAAATCCAATGCGTGATTTTACTTAATGTTTTAATTCATATTTTAATCATCTTTCATTCCCTCAAATAGCAAATACTTTTTTAATTAATTGAGATATGAAATCCTCAAACAGCTTCATTTCCAGTCCCATTTTTACTTGTTTCTGGTTTTGGTTAGCCGTTGGCGGTGCCTTCATCAACACGTAGTCTCATTTCGGGATACTCTAACCACGCACACAACTCATCGGGGACCCCAACTGAGTTGGCTGGCCACGTGCCGAAAAGCCCCCGGATCCACCCACTCCGCCGGAAAAGGATTCCGCTGGGTGGGACTGGAACTGAGCTTTTAAATTAAATCACAAAATGAGGATGGAGCGACTAAGGCAAGCCAGTCCGCCGCTAAACCAAATAAATAAACCCTTTGGCCGCAGTCCTTGGTCTCCTTGGTGTCCTTGGTGTCCTTGCTCCTTAAAGGCGCATCCTCCTTGGGAGAGATAACATTAAGGACAGGAAGTCAACTTGCCAGTGGGTAAAAGCAATGGGAATGGAATGCACAGTGGACCAAATGGGACTTTCAGTGGCGACTGAATACGTAGCACTTGAAAACCATGAAGAGAAGTACTTAAATGTTAATCGAATATATAAGTAATAAAAATGGTGCAAAAGGCTTCGGCACCTGTAATTAAATGTATATTCTCCCGCCAGTTTCAATAAATTAAGAGTAGCTGACACACAAATCCCTTGCTTCATCCACTGTAGAAGGAGAGATGACATCTCGTTGCGCCTGGCAATTCGGTAGCCAAAAGGACACGAGGAGACCAAAAGGGATAATGGCATAAAATCCAACAAAATGAAAAGAAAGCGGCAAATCATGTTAAGAGATTTAAATTGTATTAGTTGACATGTGTGTGAGTGGATGCGAGTGTCTATCCTTGGTGGTGTCAACTGGCGGTGGCCGTGAAGCCCGGTTCTCGCCCCCTGGATGTGGATATATCCTGGCACGGTCGGCACTCGCTCATCTTGACATCAATTTTGTCACTTGATTTCCCTTTCTTTTTGCATTTTTTTCATTCGTGCCGGGCCTGTGCTTTTATTTATTTTGTACGCTTGACACAATTCCACGTCGAGGGCTTACGGCTCGAGTGTCTCTCTGGTCCTCGATGCCATTCACCCAGAATTCCGCCCAGAATCTGCTCTTTCGCAGTCCCTCCCCACAGAAGGTCCGCCCACGTTCTGCATTTGACAAGGAGTCATCCTTCCACGAGTCGGGGCGGGGGTCACCTTTCGTCCTCGGGAAACAGGAGGAGGACCAGCTTGACATCCGGAGACATGGCGTCAGGTTGAGCCAGCGTCAGCATTAGAATACAATGATGTATTACCCTAAAACCCTACACAATGATAATGAATTATTTTCAGAATTTGTAATAAAGCGATAGCTGGAAAGGTGCAACTACTTTAAATCTGTCATACGTGGACATTTGTTTAAAATTTGCTTAAAGTATAGTTGCTAATACAGATTCATATTGAAGTCCATTTTTGTTGAAGAAGAAATTTACTTCTAAATATTGCATTAAGTAAATATTTTACAGGACTGTTGTATAATTTGCAGTGGCACTTTAGATTTGAGCAGCGTAATATTCCAACTATTTGCATCTATTTACGAATCCTCCCTTGGCTCCGGCTTCTTACGATACTTAACTTGGGACGTATAGATATCGTAACCCAAGCTGATGGTGTTGTCATAGAATACCCTGTACTGCGGCTTGATCAGCAGAAAGTTGATGAACTGTGCCAAGGGCCACACGGTCCACTCAGCAGCGTACAAGACTAGTGCCTTATCCCTAATCTCCTGCTGCAGCTCCTCCCACGTGTTGTCCTCCAGTACGGCCATCGTGAGGAAGAAAACGGCGATGTAAAAGGGTGAGCAGATGAACTGGTCCAGCAGAATCTTGATAACCACCACCCTATAGGTGCGCTTGGGAAACAAGTAGTCCAGGTGTTTGTACCAATAGTGGCAGACCAGGCCCACCGTGAGCCCGGAAATGCCCATCCGAACGGTACGCGTCCGGTTCCAACCCGGAAGCTCTCCGATGAAGCGCTCATAGGACTGCTCCATGGTGTCGCCCACCATGCTCAGGCCCACTGAGATCCCGATGTTGGTATATAGGAGATACTTCGGGCTGAAGGCCAACTGGTGAAACCGGTCCAAGGCGTGCGCCATTCGCTTCCATAGCACGCGTAGTGCCATCTAGGATCCCCTGTTCCTAGTGGTGCCTCCTCCTGTGCTAATCATCTTGACGCATTTCTCAAAGAAACTTTAATTTAGAAGTGCAAATCCAATATTTGTTCAGTTCATAATTATGTTACTTCAATACTGATAAAAGATAACTAGATTGATTGTTAAAATCTTTCGGCCCCAAAAACTAAGCTAAAATGGCCCTATTTATCTACTTCTAGTTTGTTCTAATTAATATGTACATTTTCCTTTATGTATTTTGTAATCTTCTATATCTTAATGCGTTTCAAAAACATATTTAACGAGTTTCACGCCACGTTAGCAAGAATTCGCCAACCATCCTACAAATTCCAATCAAAGTTTTAATCAAAATGCCGCAGGAATGCCCTTATATATTTGTTCAAGATAAAGGCGAAACCGCCACTAGAAATTATTCTCTACAAACAAAAGGATTCGAAGAGGATAGAGGGAATTTGGCATTTAGCTGCGCAAACAAAACACAAACAGGCAATGAAATCAATTTGGCGCCAGCAACACGAAATGAGTTTTCGCAGGATTTGTTGAGGTAGCCAAAGCGGGCTCCAACCTATATCTAATGCCTAAGGAAAAGGACTCCCACCGCCGTTGAAAGGACCAAAAAGGGTTGCCCGCCCACACGCACCGAAGCCAAAAAAAAGGAATCGCTTTGCTCGGCATTCAAATGAGGCTTCCATACCGCTCGATAATCCCCCACCCCACATGTTGCTCCTCCGTATCCCAGCATCCCCCTACTTGGGGGTTTGAGTGTTTGTGTCTTCACGCCTCCAGCGGACAATTTTTTGCCATCCCGGGTGTCGGTGAGTTAATACTGCCAAATCATTCGCACGCGATTCGCAACCGCAGAACCCAAATGCAACCCCTTTGCGCTCGTTTGCGCCCCTTTGTTCCCCTTTTGCGCCCCTTGGGGAAATCACATGTGCCAAGCCCCCCCTCTCGGCCCACTTTTGGGGCCAGTGAATTGAAAAATATTTACGGCCTTCTACGATCTACGCTAAAATCCAATTTTATTTTTATATTCCGTCGAAATCCGCCATAAAACCGAGTTCCACCAACGCGCCCGTCCCGTTTTCAGTTCCCCGCTTCCGACTGTCGGTTCACCCGTAAATTCAGCTCGCAGTTTTCGGTTTTGTTTGCTAGGTGGGATTCCCCCCTCAAATCAAATGATTCTGACAGCACATGAGGTCGGGGGTGTTGGCATTTGTTTCATTAGCATCGCGATACACAGATGTATTTACTGTTTTCCATGCATTCGCTGCATTATTTGCCCGCGTTTAATATGCGCATTTTGGAAAATGCCACGGTGTCAGCTCCAAAATGGCACAGAATCCAAAATAATAAACGTTAATGCGCAATCAAAAATAATCGACAGGAACGTGTCAGTGTAAATTTGTACAGAAATAATTGGCAGAGCCATTTTTCCGTTCATTTTCGACCGATAAGCTGGCCAAAAATCGCTTTTTTCCCAGAACAGAACGCATGTGAACAGTTTTAAACTCCTACAATATTCATGAATTTAATTAATTATTCACTTGCAACTAGTGCGTTCTACTATATGATACGTTCCATGGTAACCGTCGAATTTTCATATCCCAGTCCCGAAATTGTAACTCGCATAGGACGACAACAATAAACGCTGGTTCGGCTAGTTCCTTCGCAGGACCTGCCGTAAAAAAGCCTTCCAGGTCTAATTCATTGTGCAAATGTAATGGGCTTGGAGCACTCGGCTATTTACATACTGGCACTTCCAACCCGTAACCCTTTGGGAGCACCGGAGAGATATGGAGATGCTATATTGTGTCGCCTGCGCCGAGTGCCATGGACACACGAGTACGTCTAGCTGGATGTTAGCCAGGCTCCTGGAGCGTGGCGAAAAGCTACCAAAAAGCAAAAAAAGGAAAACAAATGGAAAAAGAAAGTATGACAAAAAGAACTAAAGTGAAAGCGGCCATGCATTTTCATAGTTTTTCCCACTTTGTTATGCTGATTTCTCACATTTTCGTTTCCTTTCGTTTTTCCTGCCAGCCAGCAATCCCCGTTCGTTCCGCTCTCAATTTTTTTGGCCCGCTGCGGGATGATGTTGCCGGGTTTTTTAAGGGTTTTGGGGGTTTTTAAGGGGTTGCGAGCATGTGTGCATTTTAATTGAATTTTTCATTTCGCTCAATAAAAGCAAAAGCCGAATGTGCAGGCAGCGAGCCGCAAAAAGTGTCATAATCCTCCTCGTGTCCTTGGACCCCACATTTTAAAGGATCCCGGACAAAATTCTAGCGTTTTGGTTGATTTTCTTCACAGTGGCTAAGCATTTCATTTAATATATATTGCAAATCACTCTCTAATTGATTTCGAATCGATTTTGAATGGCGCTTTAGTGCATGTTTAGACTGCCATTCGGCTTCATTTTCCACTGGCTGGCTCGCCTTCAATTTATGCAAATTAAATCCAAATGTGATTTTAATGGTTTTTCGGCACGGCCAGACCGAAATGATGATGAGTGTGTTTGCAAATAAATGGCAGTCGAAAAGTTAAGCCATCTCTGTGTGCAACATTTCGTGCTCCGGGGTATCCATTCCACTCCGCCGAACCAAAGGAAGCCAACTATAACCGCATGTTCCGTTCCGGAAAACTAACTTATTCAATTAGTGGATGGGAAACTTTGGCTGTTTACTGTACACTCCAAATAAAATCTGCCCGTCAAAGGCAGCCATCTGTGTATTCTGCAGTTCTTTAAAAAATGTGTTGTCCACTAATTTCATTTTAGCTTCGTTTTAAAATTGTACTTCTTCTTGTTTAATGCAACTTCTCTTTTCATGTTGTGCCATATTTATTTCAGGATCGTTGTCCGACAGCTACTGATAGCAAAATATTAAAAAATGTTGGCCACTTAATCCACTTTTTTTATGTGGAATGGCATGAATGGCATAAAAAAATTTAAATTCCTCTACATTTCGGCTGACATATTCTCTGAGCCAATGTGAAAAACATACGCAGTTTTTGCTGGACTTCGATATAAAAGTCGCAGATAGCATTAAGCCAGAAAAATAAGATATCCAACAATAAATATTTACCAAAAATATTAAATCGATATTCGAAATGGTAGGATAAATTTAATGCTCTGTCCGTAAAAGGAGGACATTTCCGACTATGTCTATCTGTGCAGTTGAATAATTGTTTTTAGCTGGCAAGCAAACGGAATTCAAACGGAATTCGAAAATTCGAAAGGATCAAAGGTCAATTCACTTGACTCGTGCAGTCAACCAGTTGCGGGTAACGGAACCCCCGGCATATTTGAACTGCACCGCCGAGGAAAATAAGTCAGCTCACCGTTAACGTAAACGAGCAAATAGCCAAACATCCAAACAGTCAACACGTCGGCATCGTCGTCACCCGCCAGTCGTGCCAATTTCGTTAAGGCAAGCGAAGGCAAACAACAACACGAGACCGCCCCAAAAACCCCGCCCCAACCCCAACCCCAACCCCAAGCCCAAGCTCCAACCCAATACAAATATACCCACCCACTGTGCACAGGCTGTCTGGACGATGCACAAAAACAAAAGAACAACCAGGTGAGGTGGCGGCAGGAGCAGAGGATGACAGGTGTCCTGGTTCGCGAAACATGAGCACTCCGAGAAATGTGCCTTAAATTTGAAAGTGCATTGTGTTGCATTTTGAATGAAATTTGAAAAGAAGCTTCAACTATTTAGGTGTTAAATATTTTACTTCGGATTTATTTTTTCTGTTGTCTTAATAGTTGTCTGAATAGTACTTAATTATTACAGATTCATCCGAATTTAAGAATGTATTTGAAGTGCTAATCTTGTATTAAGAGTTGCGCAGCAAGTACCCCAGCGTTTCGCCAAGTGTAAGTACCTTATTACCATGGGTGAAACACAGCTGTTTATGAGGCGCAAAAATGTCATACATCATGCGACACGCGATGTCAGGCTGAGAGGACATGGCCACCAGGACTCCGCTCGGAGTCGGAATCGGAATCGGTGTCCGTCCGTTTGGCTGTCCGTCCGTTCATGAGGCGGAACAAGATGAAATTGGCTGGGGTCGCGTAAGCGTAGCAAAATGTCAGGCATGCAGAAAAGAACGTCGCGGATTTGTAACTGAGAAGGATCCACTAACGCCAGAAACGAAAAATGAGTGCTGTCGGGGATGGGGGTTGCTCCGGCAGACAGACTGCATCATCACCGCCATTGCCAGCTCCTGCAGTACTTTGCCATTATTATCAGCAGGATTGCACGGAGCATGTGGGGAGGGATGAGGGTGTGGCAGCTCCTGGCTGCTGCCTCCTCCTTAGGATAGGCATTCACGCCCAGCTAAGTGGCACACGAAGCGTTAAACTATTAAGCACACGTTGCCACTCGGCGGGTGATTCATGGAACGGGATGCGGTGGAGCTGCCTCACGCAAAGGAAGTGCCAACGCCACCGCCACCGCCACGGCCTTTGTTATTCAACTCAAGATAAATCATGTACATAAGTCCTGGTCCATGTCGCCATGCCGTGAGATTACCACATAAATTCTGGTTGCCATCACATGTAAAAATTTCATTTTGTCACAGCTTTGGAAATGTTCACACTGAAGAATTATAATTTATTTATATTTGATATAAGAACTGCTCCTTCTTGAAGAGTTATTAATAATTTTAAATATATATATACCTATAAAGGCATAGTGTTTGAGCTTTGCTCAAGAGAGGGTAATATACTAAGTGCTTTAGACTCAATTTAAAATCAGAAAGGTAAATACATTTTACTTGAAGCTTCTCCATTCGCACACACATTAGCTCTTTGAAAGGAGTGTAACTGCTGGTAAACTGGAGTGCTTAAAGCCAGAAAAATAACAGACAAATTAGAAACACACACAGGCGAGTCTGTCCCACTCCGTGTCCAACTGAACTAACTTTTCAAAGGCTCTGTAAAGGATATCACGGTTTTGCGGGGGGTGGGGCACTCTAATTAGAATAATTTTGCGCTGCGTTGCGCTCGACAGCGCTGCAGATGTGGCGCCATCTGGCGGGCGGTGGCAGGAGGAAGGTTATGCCTGCAGGACCTACACACACATACGCACACACATCTACGGCATGA